ATGTTTAATTACAATGTCTGCAGAATCATTTAGTAATTATTTCTATATATTTTCTATAATGTGATATTTTAAAGCGCGCTTTCATTGGCTTGTTTTCATTAAACGTATAATACGTTTTCACAGCGCGGCGATTGCGCAACCGAGAATCAATTTTTAAACAGAGTGGCCGAGTTGTGTTTGCTATTGGTACGGACATGGCATATTCTGAAATTTTAAAGTAATATAATTATATAAGATATCGATTTTAAAATACTATAATTTTGTTTAGAGTCAAAATCATATGAATACGCTGCAAACTTCCTGATTTTACCATGCACATATAGCCCGGCATAGAATGCATCATCGCGAAAAGCGACACTTAATGAAATTTCGTAAACTCCGATGTCAGACCATGTCAGACACGGACTGCAGCAATGTCACTACTATGTTCTCAATACCTGCTATGTTGAACACTTTTTGGATTTTTCTTGTGTATTATGATTTTATGATTAATCATTTTTTCGTCGAAATAGTCGCATTTCGGCTCATTTGAAATAGAAAAATCCACGTCCGTACGAATAAGTCACGCAGTCTATTCATACGAAAAAAGAAAAAGTAATGAAAAACGTAATTCAAAAATTACTGAAAGTAATCTAGTTAACCGTGATTCGAAAAAATTAGTTGTGAGTAGTGAAATCGCCAAATTTCTAGCCGTGAGTCGTGATGCGTACCACCCCATTGAGACCCTCGTGAAGAATTAATGAAAAATGAGTTAAAAAAACATATTTGTTTTGTTCCTTTGTTAGATGATCGCCTCGTTCTGTTGGTTCTCAACAGTTTATACTGGAACATCAAAGCATCCAAGAAGCCTCAACGCTCAGATTTTCATGAAATTGCAGACAGACAGATGGAATGGCTTGAAGAACAGCTGAAACAAGCTAAGAAGAACGAACAGAAAGTATTCCTGACAAGTCACATTTCACCSGGGTTGGTTTAGTAATTATTGACATTTCACGCATGTTAGCCTGTTGTCTAGGCCCCTACGCAGGCGTTTCTCTTCCTTTCCGCTTTCCTTTCTACTTTTGGCTTCCTGTCTTCCTCAGTATGAAAGAAGATCAAAAAGGGCTCCTTTTTCAGTGGAAAAGGAAGTGTTGTCCAATTTCAGTCCCAATGGGAATATAGAATTCTTTGTTGTAGACGAACACTCTTCAATTCTACTCCAAACGGGCTTTAAAATGGGACAAACATTTCCCGGCCTTGTCATAGATTGATAAGCTGTGCAATCAGCTTTCCCATTAATCTGTTCGTTCATTTTTCATTCTCTCATCCATCCATTTACTCCTTCATTTACGTTTTCTTCTTAAGAAAWATAAAACGGCGCGCGTGTCTCGGCATCCACTGATATAAACACGGTTGGTGTTGAAAAACACGAGAGAAGCAAGCTTCACAAAATATCTTAATTATAAAATTACGTTTGTCACCTTGAAAGTGTGTGAGCCAGGCTTATAAGCAAGTGCCGCGACACAATATAGACCAAAGCTTGAATGGAAGTCATGATTGTGTCCTCGCATCATTATCCAATGATTTCTCTCACAGAATCGATCCCTACAACGGAGCAGTCTTATGGACAAGTAACTACACCGAAATATATGTAAACCTTGTGGCTGGAAAATACAGAGACATTGTTGCAGGTAGAGTGAACACACTTAATCCATGAAGCTTAAATAGTACAAAATAATATTAAATTCTTCCTAATTTCCTTTTTTTTTCTATTGTTAATCAACACTATTTAGTAGTAATTAGTAGTATTTGTTTCACGGATTCTATTACGATGATAATTGTACTGAATACGGTGTTGGGACGGGTATAATGTCATCATAATGATTGTAGGAAAATCAAAGTAATGACGTCATTAGGYAAGAAAAAGGCCACCTATTGATTTATAGTAGAATCAACGTCACTACCATAAGTTAAGTCGGCAATGACGTAATTTCAGATTGATTTAGTGACGTCATATATTATTATGAATAGTATGAATGTCGTCATTAAAGATAAAAATTCTATTTTTAATTTTAGTTGAAGTCATCAATGACATTTCTTTGTTTTAAAGGTCAACTTTACGCCCATATTCACAAAGACGACTTCCACCTTCAAGTGGTAGATGCGCAAACGCCAAGTATAGTTCCCAGTGGCACCCCATCACCCGTTGATAAGTCATTTGTCATTTTCAGTGCGCCAGTCTCTCCAATCTACCGAAACAATCCCGCTTACAGTGTAGTATATATTGATGGCAAAAAGCAAGCATTACTGGATTTTGACACGTTTTTTATGGATCTTGTCATTGCAACAGGTAACTGAGGTTTAGCGCAACATGTATGTGGATATCTTCCTTGCCATCGCCCTTCAATCTTCTTCTTTGCTAATTTATTTATTCATTAGCTTCGCCAGGAGAATAAAGTATATAACTACATAAATAAATATCATTACAAAGACAATAACAAAGAGAGTAGCAGAGCCAATTACAGCAGTCCCATAGTAATTATGTCATGCTTTTATAATAACAGCTGTTACTTCTGCTACAGTTGCTCAGGGCTGCTTATCCTATTGTCACTAYCAATATTGATAGACTTGATATACGACTCCTTCACCTGCCACCAGCACTAATACAACTACGACTCCAACTTCGAATCCTCAGTGATACCACTTCCATAACTCTCCCCATTTAGTTCCATTTTTTTCTTATTTCTTCATTCGTTATTCGTTCTTTTTCTTCTAATTTTTCATATGTTCTTCTTTATTGCTGGGCGCGCTATGAAGAAAAACAAAACGACATGCACAACAAAAGTCTTCTTCACGGTTCCCTGCGCCATCTTGAAAGGCAGCCATGCCTTTACATCGAAGCGAGACGAGCGTTGAGCGTTCAATGATAAAAACCTTCTTTCACGCTTACAGAGACAATTATTCACAGGTACGACTATCATTGCACGCTCAACGTCTCGTCTCGTCAATGTCTCGCTTCGGTATAAATTAAGGCACGGCTACCTTTCAAGATGGCGCAGAGAACCGTGAAGGAGACTATTAAACAATAAAGTTATTCTTCTCAACAGAATTTAAATCTCCAAAATGGCAGTTTGGATACAGATTCAGCGATCGTTACCCTTCCTCTAATCCTTACATTGATGCAGAAAGAATCTACCAACTAAACCAAGAACTGATCAACACAAGCAAGACCTGGTTAAGTTACGTGTATGCGCGCACAGTTTTCTACAATCCCGGTTCCTACTCGCGGTTTTCTCTATATTGCGCAATGAGATACGTCTTTGAGAAAGACTATAAAAAGTGCGTCGAAAGATTCCTTGTACCCGAAGGATAAACATGGTCTGGATTTAGTTTGTATGTCGGAATGATATATTTGCAATTATTTATGATATTGACCGGGTTAGCGTCTATGTCATTCGTAATATTTTTAACAATTCAACCACTCTATATTGGTTGAGATTTTCGGGTGATTTACTTTCACTTAAAAGGTATTTTGTAGTTAGGCTAGCGATTTTCTGAAGTGCAGTTTTGACTGCGTTCTTTGATCCTGTTTCTTCCTTTTATTTGCGCTAATACGACTCCATCTTATAATAATAATAAAAATAATAATTTACTTTATAAGCAAGTATTATTTTACAGTTCAGATATAGATTAAGTGCACCACAGCTGTTTGGCTACAATTAAAGTAGAAAAAAATGGTATAATCAAGATTTAGTCTGTGCATGACTTACCCTGCTAACAAAGTGTTAATATAGTGTAAAATTCGCGTTTTTTTACTGAGGTAAGGTAAATAACACTCTGTTCGCAGGGTGTGCATGACTTCAATGAATTTGTTTTTGATTACATCTAAAAATGAGATGGCTCCAATGGTTATATGATCCCTTATTGACTTAAGAATCGATGATAAGATTTGCACACACAGGCKATATTCCATTCGAACGTTTCRAACTTTAWGCCACAKTTGCCATCTGGCACCGGCAAGCGAACTTGATGGAGCAATGGCACACACTTTCCCAAAGGTCTTTCCTCATATCTGATGCATTCTTGATTTTTGCAAACGACTTCTRTAACATCGATCACAGCATTGATTTTAGAATGGATCTTTAATTTCAGTGGCTTCTTACAGGGGTGGCAAAGGTCGTACAGATTCGCTCGTTTTCCTTTCCTACATAAAGAAACCAAATGATAATGATATCTATAATGGTGAAGAAATGATCAACCAGACTTGATCATTTAGAATTTATCAGAAGTCATTTTATCGAGTTCTCATAAGCAAGGAATTATAGGAACCATAGTTAATAGAGGGATAACTATGAAGGAACGAAGAAGGAAAGTAAGAAAGCCAAGAAACGTGCGGAACAATTAGCGGACAGTGAGCAAGGGAAGAGGAAAGCAAGCAAGCCAGACAAGAGGAGATGTACCTTTTATAACACCTCAGTTTCCCGTAGACCCTYGCAGGTTGCCTCAATATCCTTTTATGAGAGACCTCTTTGATTTTTATGCCAGGAATATTCCACAGTCCAAGCTTTTTTAGCTTGCGAGTGTACTCTTTGAACGAATAAACGTGGCCAGGAMGACAGCGGGGACGGCGCACACGACGTACATGCCGTCGACGTCTTCTACTCGATCGTGCTTTGGCAATTCTCTTAATTTCTTCTTCAGGGTATACAGTCTTTTTCAGCTCCGCTTGTTTGTCAATGTTGCCTTGAAGTCCTTCATCACTTTGGGGCCTCGTATCGTCTTTAACGTGCTCCGAATTCAGCAAATTCGCGGTCATGAGATAGAAAATGATGCAAAGTTGTGCAATCAAAATACCCTGGCAATTAAAAGAATGGTTATCGACACTGATCTTATTTTTCGCGGTTTAGACCATGATATAAAATATAATATATAGACTGATTTCTAGCGTCGATTGCAGGTTTGTTGAACAGAGCAACTGTGGAATTAAGTATGCACTTAAGTTTTCTAGTTAGGGGTTGTATCAAGCGTAATTATAGTGTAGTATACAGTTATTCCAAATTTGTTACCTTCATTTTAAGTCCCACAGAAGTCCCGACGTAAAGCCCGTTTCCTCAGGATCCAGTGTAGTTGAGCTTTGCCTGGTTCGTTGTTCAGACGAAAATTACCCAGTTGTCATTAAATCTATCACTTTTGGGCATGAAAGATTACTAAGAATGCGGAAAAAGCTGTATGGGCATGCGCATGCATAGATGCATTCAATCTTTAACATAATGATAATTGAAGGACAATAATCATATGATCGATTTCATAGAGTGGTAGTCTCGTAAAGGTTAGAGTTAACGTACTACGAACCTTGAAGCAAATAGCACTAATTACTATACTAAATAGTATTGATTAGACAATAAAAAACAAAGGAATTAGCATAGTTTATTACTATTTTGCACTATTCAAGCTTCACATATATTATTAAGTGCTTTCACTCTAACCCTTTCGTCTTCAAAGTACAGGCACTGCTGAGCATAATTTTTATTGTGGGGGCTGAATCGTAAAAATTAGAAGATTGTTTTCAAAATGGCGGCGTGAAGTTACTGACCTAAATTCAATAGAGTTATAATTCTCCCAAKTTTTGCTTTACTACAAAACTAAAAAGGCATAGCGCATTATGTTCCTGAGCCATTAATAAGTTAAATGTCAAAAAATCAAATAAAAGCCAATATCATTTGTCATGGCAATGATGGAGTGGGTACTTGTAACTCGACTTTAAAAAATCTATATTTGGGTATTTGTGGTATTTTTGTATTTTCAGGTATTTTCGTAGTTTTTGTAAATGGTTCCCTGAGMTGAATTTAATTATATTATCTGTAAAAAATATGATAAAAAAATATCAGGAAAAAYTCATGTTTGGGTTCCCTGTGGAAATTTGTTTTTGGACTTCCTGTGGTAGCTTGCAGRAGCACGTTTTCAAGATGGCGGATGCTTTYGGCGAAGAAGACATTTTTGCAGTTTTTGACCAAGACGCCCCTGTAGACAACTCAAAGAAGCGAAAATATGGCGATGGAAARAACGAGAAACCTTCATCCTCWAGTGAAAACCCTCAAGCGAKYGAGAAACGCGACATAAAAGATGTTTTGAACGACCCTTTGGTTTTCGATGTTGACGATTCTGCAAGTCCTGGACCAAGTAGTTCGTCAAAGAAACAAAAAATTGATGACACAGAAAGGTGATTAACATTCTGATAGATACTGTTTGTATTCTATACTAAATAGTTTATTATCACATTATAAATAGAATTATAATCATTGACTTTAAACAAGCAAAAATCAAGAAAAACAACTTTTTTTTTCAAACTGCATGTCTTCAAGTTGTTGTTGTTCGATTCCTTTAAGCTAAATTATGCCTGTTTATCGTAAATCTATATTAATATTTTTTAACTGTAATATTCAGTTGCGTCTAGTTCATGTATGGTCAAGGAATAAGACTTTTTGTCTTAAACTTACGAATTGCATTGTAAACTTTGGATTTGTTGTTCAGTTTGTTAGAGTCTGTTCCRCAAGTTGATCACATCACTGTAGACACAATCGAGGCTTGTACGCATGAGGTAAAATAATTTATGACTTAATKCTATGTTTTGGAGACACAAATTCAATAAACTTGTAACTTTCTGCATCAATCARATATTAACGAAATATAGATGTTTCATTTCAACATTTTCAGATTAAAACTTTGATCTTAAGGATTGATTTTATGCATTTTTCTCAAAAGATAATCTTAGATCAAAGGTGTTTGGTTGAGTGCAGCAGTAAAAGCCTTGTTTGTCAGGATTGGTTGAATAGCTTACATGACTTGTGTAATATAATTTCTCTCTAGGTTGCTATTCCCAGTGGATTTGAATATAAACCTTTGCAATCAAAGAAGGATGCAAAACCAGCCAAGGTTTGTTTTCTATATTAAGCTGTTTTGGTTGACAAGCTCAGTCCATACTGAAAAGATCCGGGTCTGATTTTTCTCTGTACAGACCTCAAACATGGTTAATAACCTACATTCTTGGACATAATCAGGCATGTCGGAATTATGCGCGAAAAAAATCAAAATTATGCGGAATTTTTTCCCCATATTATGCGGAGAAAAGGGTGAATTATGCGGAAAATTATGCGGGATGACGTCATCACAGGAACGTAAACTTTGGTAAATTTTACATATATTTAG